TTTATCTACATTTAACTACTTTGAGTAACATATCTGTGCTAATGAAACAATAAATATAATACCCGCCTAGTTTAGTATTCTCGGTTATCATATTATCCAATTTAGTGCTAGTATATCTCTCGAAGCATGTAGCGTACAAGACCAGTTTAATAAGCGTCACAACGGTGACGCCGTTTATCTTTTGACTAACGGTACTCTCAAACAATTCAGCCGACTCACATAAACTATGTTGATGAAAGCTTCATCTGCACCTGCACAGGAATTTCCGAAGTGAACCTGAGCGCTGACTTGGTGTTCCAGTAACTGAAGCACCTAAGTAAAGACACTTCTCCTAGCCCAGATATGGTCCATTCTGCTATATTGAGTGAAGCAACTTCAATCTTGTCAGCACCGCTTAGCGTGATGTTCTCACACACACTAGGCCGAGGCACATTACTGGAAATTTGGAAGCTGGCTCACATCACACCAATTTTCAAAGGAGGTTAATGCAGCGAACCTCCAAGTTACTGACCGGTGGCTCTTCTCTCTATACCTTCAAAAATCATGGAGTTCCTGATATGCGATGGGATAAATGACTATTTACTGTCCTTAAATTTCTTCTCACTTCAACAGCATGGTTTTAGAAGGGGTCATTCTTGTATAACCAACCTGCTGACTTCGGCGGATAGATGGACAAGCACCCTTGATCGCAAGGGCAAGGTTGATATCATTTACCTTGACTTTTGATAGGGTCAACCGTATGTGTTTTATCAATAGGCTCAAAGGACTGGGTATCAGACCACCTCTAAATGATTGGATCACTTCATATCTAAAAGATCGACATTCTAAAGTCAGAGTTAACTTCACTTTCTCTTAGGCAGTAGAATGTCCTAGTGGGATCCCCCAGGGTCCAGTAGTAGGACCTCTTCTCTTCTTGATTTATATAAACGATCTTCCACAACAGGTATCGTCCGAAGTATTCCTTTTTGCTGATAATGCAAACCTTTGGAGAGATATACACAACCAGGATCATTTATCAGCACTTCAGGGGGATATGACCCGACCCCAAAGTTGGGCAGATGACAACGCACCTACCTTTAACACTTCAAAGTGTAAAGTAGTCCATCCACGACACGTTACAGACTACAGTTATAACTTAGGAAACTCTTCTCTAGTAGTATCCCGAGTCGAAAAGATTTAGGTGTGCTGGTACCCTACGATTTGAAGTCTTACACAAATTGTGACAAAAATTTATTCCAAGCAAAGCTTGCACTGATAACATTGGAGCACGTTTTTTGCTACTTTGACGGTAGAACGTTCCACATAATCTTCAACAATTTCATTTGTCTCCATTTAGAGTACGCAAAAACAGTGTTTCCCTCCTCATTTCAAAAGGATAAGAACAATCTGGTGCGTATCCAACGGCGTGCCACGAAATCAGTTCGAGGACTCAAATTCAAACCTTATGAAGAGCGCCTCCAATCACTAAACCTTTACCCATTAGAGCACAGGCGTCTTAGAGGTGACCTTCTAATGGCTTACAGTATCCTTAACATTTATGTACATCCCCTTAAATACCTACCTAAGTTTAGCTTTAACACAAACCTATGGGGAGACACAACATAGTAGAACAGACTGCTGACACAACTTCTACTCCTAAAGAGCTGTCAAATGCTGGAATTCGCTGCCAACTGAACCAATCCAAGCGACTTCCCAGGAGTCATTTAAGAGGCAAGTTGAGCTATCCTTAAGGACTAAGGATGGCACCCTACTATAACTAACCGGTTTCTTTTTCCTCTTTTATCACTAATATACTTAGGTTCCTGCCTGGTGGTCCACTGCTACTAGACACGGAAGCCCGTTAGGCGAAAGCTTCTTCTATTCCATCCAAAACCATTCGAACCGTTTAAAAACGATCAATGTGAGATTATGTATACATTACGGCGTATATAGCATCAGGAAGCTGAAGCTGAGAGCCTAGAATTTGTGCAGGTTAGGATGTTATATTGATGTGTCATATTTATCATATTTCCACTAGCCCTAACATATTTCTAATTCATTTCGTTTATAAATTACACGTTAAATCGTAGTGATATGGATCTATTGCAAATTTCAGAACATCAAAACATTAAATTGCTCACTTACTTACTTACTTACTTACTTACCTACTTACCTACTTACGCCTGTTACTTCTCGTGAAGGAGCATAGGCCGCTCACCAGCATTCTCCATCCAACCCTGTCCTCGACAATCCTTCCCAGCTCCTTCCAGTTGTTATTGTTTCATATCTGCTTCTATTATCCGATGTAATGTGTTCTCTCGCCTTCCTTTTTTCCGCTTCCCTTCACGGTTCCAAGTTAGTGCTTGTCTCGTGATGCAGTTTGATGATTTCCGTAATGTATGTCCTATCCATTTCCATCGTCTTTTCTTAATTTCTTCTTCAGTTGGAAGCTGATTTGTTCTCTCTCACAAAAGGCTGTTGCTGATGGTACCCGACCAATGGATGTTGAATATCTTGCGTAGACAACTATTTATAAGTACTTGTACCTTCTTGATTGTTGTAGTTCTCCAAGTTTCAGCTCCATACAGTAGAACTGCCTTGACGTTGGTATTGAAGATTCTCACTTTGATATTGGTTGAAGGTTGTTTTTAGTTCCATATGTTCTTCAATTGTAGGAATGCGACCCTTGCTTTGCCAATCCTTGCCTTAAAGTCTGCATCTGAGCCTCCTTGTTCATCGATGATGCTTTCTAGGTATGTGAAGGATTCTACATCGTCCAGAGTTCCGTCATCAAGAGTGATCGCTGTCCTCCGCTTTGAATTTGAGGACCTTGGTTTTCCCCTTGTGTATGCTGAGGCCTACTGATGCAGAGACTGCTGCTACACTAGCTGACTTTGTCTCCATCTTTTCATGTGTATGCGATAGGAGGGCTAGGTCATCTGCGAAGCCCAAATCGTCTTTGACCGGCCTCTCTGGTTTACTGTATTTCCCTGCTAGTTTCTTCGTTGTATCGTCAAGCCGTTTCATATTTCCTTCTCTTGCAGCTTTTCCCATCGTCGTTGCTAGTTCTTCCACATATTTCTTCTTGTCGGATCTAATGCTCCTCTTCACTTGCTTGTTTGCTTCTATGTATTCAGCTTGTGCTTGGACTTTCTCTGCTCGTGTTCGGCTGTTGTTTATTGCTGCCTTCTCGTTCTTTCTTTCTTTGATCTTGTCCAGTGTTTCTGTAGAGATCCATTCCTTATGATGGTATTTCTTTAGACCCAGAACCTCATGACACGTTGAAGTTAATGCTTCCTTGATGCCTTTCCAGTTGTCCTCCATACTAGTTTCTTCATCTTTCAGTAGATCTTGTAAGGCTTGGAACCTGTTGTTGAGAGCTATCTTGAATTTATTGAGTTTGTCAGTATCTCGAAGGAAGGCTGTATTGAACCTTTGTAGTGCTGTTTGTCCACTTGTCCAGTTCTTTTTTAGCTTCAGTTTTAAATTGGCCACAACTAGGTGGTGATCTGAAGCTACGTCAGCACCTCTCCTGGTTCTCACATCTTCCATTGTACTTCGGAATTTTTTGTTGATGCAAATATGATCTATTTGGTTCTCTGTAGTGTGGTCCGGTGAGATCCACGTAGCCTTGTGTATACGCTTGTGTGGAAATATTGTGCCTCCTATGACCAATTTGTTGAATGTACATAGATTTGCAAATCTTTCTCCATTTTCGTTTCTTTCTCCCAGTCCATGTCGTCTCATAATATTTTCATATCCAGTGTTGTCTATTCCGACTTTGGCATTTAGATCTCCCATCAGAATAGTTAGGACCTTTCTCGGGCATTTCTCAATGACTGACTGCAGCCGCTCGTAGAACTGATCTTTAATGTCGTCGTTGCTATCATTTGTGGGTGCATAATATTGGATAATATTCCTTAAGATCCCCTCCTTCTTTGTTTTGAATGATGCTTTGATGATTCTGGATCCGTGAGATTCCCATCCTACAAGTGCATTTCGAGCTACTTTGGACAGCATAAGAGCGACTCCCTGAGTGTGTGGAGCGTTTTCCTCTTCGTGACCGGAGTATAGCAGCATCTCTCCCGTAGCTAGACTTTTCTGTCTAGCTTGGGTCCAGTGGGTTTCGCTGATTCCCAGTACTGCTAGGTTGTATCTTCTCATTCCATTGCTATTTGGCTGGTCTTCCCGGTTCCATGTACCTATAAAAAATTTTGCTCTGGTTGTTAGAAGGGGCATCGGCCTCGTGGGTTCCGAAGGAACTCGGCTTTTACCATGAAGCGTCATAATTCTTCTAAAAGAAGACCTTCTAACTCCCAGGAGAGAGTTAAAATAGTTTGAACTGTTTTTTCTGGTAAACGTTTTTTTAGCGAGTTAGTTTTCTACGGGATGGGGACGCTAACCCCATGCCCAACCCTCCTCCTTTACCCGGGCTTGGGACCGGCAGTAACTCTAGAAGAGCTACAGGCAGAGTTATTAAATTGCTCAGCTAACCTAAAAATAGCCACAAAACACAAAATGAGACAAGCCGGCCACTATTGCTTACAAAGGTGGCGTGGATTATAGTTCCTGTTTCATTCTAATTGGTCACTAAGTCGACTGTCAAAGTTATGTAACGGATTTAAGTTTACTTGCAGTTGAGATCAGGACGGCCATATTACTTCTGATCCAGTCAGTTTGATGGGATTTTACAGGCTTATGTTTCCTTCCTCAGCAGAAGGAAAACGAAATTCTAATAGGCGGCTTGCCTGTGTACTTTTAGAATCCGCACTTTGTCCTATTCTGTGAAGCTTGTGAATGCTAACTTCATCCGTTGTTTCTTCAAGTAGCTTGCATATTAATGACTTAAGTCACTATGTGGCCAACTTCTGGAATGAGCAACCTGAACAAGTATAGACCTCATCGGCAAATAATTTCAAAGAAAAATCTAACTATTACAGAGGAGTATATTACAAGGATTGATACAGGTCGATAGATACGCTGTCTTTATCTCCGCAAACTGACATACAATTTTAAGAACCATTTACAAACATATACGTTACAGTAACTGTTAGTCATGTAGGGAAGATCTTATTGTTATACTTTATAATATATATTGACAAATGGCTTAATTTTCCATGTGTAGGTCTGTTTTATGGTATCGTGGTTCATTTTCTGTGACCTTTTAACCACATAAAAGGGTCTGTAGCACCTTATTTGATGTTTAAATACCAATCTGTGAAGTTTCATGTTCTATTAGCCTTCCATCAACGTCTTGTTTTTCAGTCTGATTTCACGGTAATTGTATCAATTATGTTCCGGAAACTCACAACTTTAGAATAAGTCTCACGTTCTTGTGACATTGCTGTTGCCTAGTTATTTTGATCATTAGGCAGGTACTCTTCAGGAACTTTTGGTCACGAAAAATGCCATCGATTTTTCAACTGTGCCAGTCTATAAACCGATGCCTATATTGGTAGTCATTCCCACCAGTCAAGAAACAAATTGACCAAATATTGTATTGACCACCGTTTAGTTCAGTAAAATATGTTTAGTTGCTGTTTCATACGGTTCATATAATTAGAAAAAGCTTTCTGATTAATTAGTTTTTGCACTTATTTTCATCGTTTAGTCATACGGCTAAATATGAATGTTGACGTATTAGGGTGTCTATTCTCGAGGCAGATTGTTGGTGAGACTATAATCTATGGACGACCTTTGATCAACGCTGAGGTGACCTTAAGAATCCCTACCTAGTTACTAGGCTTAAATGAAGATTATAAATCACTGAAAGGAATTAGTATTTGGGTTTACAGTTAGACATTAGGGTCAGGAATGAGATTTAGTGTTTTCATCACAAATTGATGTCATAAAATGTCAAAGTGCTATCTAACCACAATCCAAGACCTAAGTAATTCCAGTACGAATCTAAGAGTGGTTAGCCTATACTGTTAGTGAAATATTAACGTGCTCACAGAGGTGTTAAAGGCATGTGGCCATTTTTCTATTAAAACGCGGTTTGCTTGACTGCAAAATTTGATGTCTGACACATCGAAAACCCTATTTTTATGCAACCATTCTAGTGGTTATATCTCCATTCTAAACCATATGGTTTGTGTCTTCGACTATGATTTTCATTCATCGGTATGGGCATCTATAGAATAGTTGAATGTAAAGGTACTCGATTTTCAACCAATCGATCATGCATTCACATACTTTGATTAGAAAAATATAAACAACTCAGGGTCTGGCACATATATATGTAGACCACTGACGTAGATGATCTGTATCGAATGATTGGGGACCTACTGGAGTTAGACGGGAATGGTGTGACCAACCAGCTAACGTCGAAGTCACATCTCACGGTTAGTACTTAATGTCTATTACCCTTTCGTCGTATCCAGGCATTATGGTTGCTTTGATGACCGTACAATACGGGCAGTATACCAGTCCTCACAAAAATCAAATGGTTTATGTGGCGCATATGTATTTGGTGCCTTCTCGTACTAATGTTTATGTCTAAATAAATAAATATTAGTAAGAGTAGGTACAAGGAACAGAGTGCAACTACTGCTGCATGACGCAGTTTATGGAGTGCAATTAACTGCTATACGTTGAATTCGACGACGATCGGTGAACTGTTCGACATTCAGTGACCCAACTGCCGGATGATTTGGCTAGGGCTCAGTGACATTTCACTGGCCCTACATGTATGCCGACCTCACTTGTTACACTTACTACCATAGCAAGAAAGTAAGAAAATAAAAATGAAAGTAATAACACTAACGTTCTTTACTGTTTATAGTATTCATAGAGTTATTTTATTTTCATGCATACCTCAAGTACAAATACTCATCCTACAGATTTATTGCATTAATGTGCTAGATTTTCCCAGAATATTCTTTTTAATTGACATTTAATGATTAGGTGCAGAATATAAAAATTATGCACTTTTCATTTTGTAGTCTCAATTTTTGTGAATGGCTACTGCCACTAGTAGTTCTAAGCAACCAGTTTGTGTTCCTGATAGTGTGACTGAAGATAAGGTTGTACATTGGAAAATACATCGTCGACAACTCGTTAACCCATCGGTTTCTATCTGCGAACTTGTTGATGACGCGTCTGGTAAGATAGACATTAGAGCTCCTGGCTATGGTTGGGTAACCAAGATGAAAGATGAAGGTGCCGTAGTTGTTTCTGGGTAAGATATCTTTATTATTTTTTTTATTTGTTAGGTGTGTTCTATTCAACTTCCTACCATGCACACATCACGTTGTAATGAAAGACTTGTGTGCAGAATGCGGTGCCAATTTGCGTAGGTAAGTCTAACTTTTTTCATTCAACGTCTCCTCAGAGAAGGAGGAATATCAGGTGAACGGATTACTGATGCTAGTGCTAGTATACCAATGGTGCATGCAATCCCAGAACTTCATGTCAGTGAAACAGTAAGTTATGATAGTCAGCTTGTCTTAATTACAATTTGTTACGAAGATGCAAATCTAAATGCCAAATGCGGTTATTATCCCTAGTTTTAATAGATAATCATAGGAAAGCGTCTTACATACTGTTTATTAGATGTAACGAACGTTTTGTACTTCATTTATTGGTGAACCACATTTTTTGTTAATATGATCATTATTGATCAATCATTTTTGAGATCTTTACGAAACTGATGTCTCTGTGATTCACATAATTATTTATCTTTTTTCCCTTAGTAGTGATACTCCCAGTGTACTTAACTGTTAAACTGTCTTGCATGTGGAATACCGGTCATTAGTCCAAAAAATACCTAAAAGAAGCGAAACATGCAATATTCACTGTGATTGTCATGGTTGTGATAGTGGTTGAATAAATACCCTAGGGATGCAAGGCTCGTATTCATTTCTTCGGAGAATGGCTAAAAATAATAAAGCTCATTTTGGAAATACATCAGCATAATTAATGGGGCTAGATAAAACCAAATAAATAGAGTTTTGTATTTTTTTGGATAAGATTATAGGTAAATATAGTGTTACCAAAACGGAAAAGGTCGATTCATATTGTTTTAAGCTACTAATTGGCACATTTTCTCTACATGGACTAGCTAGTCACCTGATTTCTCGTTCTATGTTATTATTCTGGTTACCTCAAAGTATCCTTTACCATACATCTGTCTTGAACAATCTGTTATTGAACCAGAGGGCTATCGTACATCATACTACATTCGCCAAGTATTTTAAAAACTCACAGAGCTACTGAAGAGAAAACTTCCGAATACACAATATGTAACTGGGTTTATTAGTTTGTTTATGACCTGGTAAATCTCTACTTAGGAAAGTATTGTTCGAGGTACTACGTAACATCATAAAATATCTGAAGGTTCTTCGACGGACAATGTTTTCTCGTGTAGGACTAGGCTGGAAGGAAGCTAGAGGCGTCTAAATCAGAACATGGTGTCAGTCGATGAATTCATCGACAATTAGCCTGAGCCGTGTTAAAAGATGTAGACCACTGGTTGGGATCCGCGTGGTTATCGTAACCAATGGTTATAGACTTTGAATGAAATGGCTAGAAATCGTTTGCAATGGTGCATCCATTCTTTGTCTTCCCCCAAATCCTGAAATTCTAAATTTTTCATAACCTATTTTTGTTTTTTATTTCATTGATTTATATTTTCTTCCTGAATCGCACCTTCTGTGCTTGATCCTTCCCATTACTACCGATACTGTTACTACCTCTAATACCCATAGATTTGACCAGACAATTTCATTTCTCTGTGCTAATGGGGTATGAAAACCTAAACTGATATACATACGTGCAAGGTTCTGCATTATGACTAACTAGTTACCTGAAGGGGCAATTCATACTATGTGCTGTTTACGACATACTATTTTGAATATAACTTTCACTAGATTTTCTGTACATTTTGTTTGTTAACATCATTAACCTTTTTTGTATTCAAACAGGTTGCAGATGAAATCGCCTTACAAGATCAACAAAGTTTATTGGCTGCTCGAAAACTTGTTTTACTGGTTGATCTTGACCAGACAATAATACATACAACTAATGATCCAAAAGCTTTTAAGTATAAAGTAATCAGTTTGTTTATAACGTATTTCTACAAAATATATGTGTGAATTTAATTCCTTGGTGAGGACTGTTGTAATATAGCAGATTGAGTGTTGGATGATTCCAGTGTTTAGCTCCAACTATTAATCCACATGTCTGTGTTCCACTATATTCTGTTTTGATTTACTGATCAGAATATTAGTTTATCATTAACGGAAAAAATATTTTTGATCATTCTAAACTTAAATAATTGTTCTACTTTGGCTTTAAAAGTCTGTTTTACCATAAGATTTATGAGACGAAAGTCACTATTCGTAGATAATTATACTTAGTTTGGCTATTCATGGGTTAAAATTCATTTTTCATATTTAGGTTCTAAAAGTTAATTTTTATCTGTAGTCCGTACATGATGAGTAAATCTCATTGCCCTATCACATAAACCTAAACTTGATTACTGAGTTGCTATGTACCTTCAACCACTATCTTCATATAATACTAATAGCCCATCAAAGCGATGTCGTTGGGATGTATTGACTAGAGTAATTGTTATATAAAGCCTTAACATACTACAAAGTTACCTGAAGAACGGTCAAACTAAAATTAGCCGATTTCATAATGTAAATAGTCTGTATTGTGATTATGCTCACACTGGGAATAGATTCAGTAATAGTAAAACGTTTCTCTCGTGAAATAAACATTCTCTCTGTAGAACGAGACGTTTTTGACCTTTTTACTTTTGCTTCTCATCATTAGTAGTAAGATTTTTTCGAAAACAGATTTCTGAACATCCCGTATTTTTACTCATGTTAGTCTGTACGCTTATTATGATTGTTATTATTACTAATGTTTTGGTAACATTATTTTCTCTTATTAGAATGTACATCGATATCGTTTACCAGGATCACCACTTGTTTATCATACACGATTAAGACCTCATTTAGAAAAAGTGTTAGATTGTCTTAGTCAGTATTATCAAATGCATATCTGCACTTTTGGTAACCGTGTCTATGCACATCAACTTGCTTCAATGATTGATCCAAAACGTAGGTATTTTTCACAACGTATCCTATCACGGGATGAATGTTTTAATCCGGTTACAAAGTCAGCAAATTTAAAGTTAGTTTGTGTAACAATAATAATATTTGATTATGAACTTTTTAAGTCAACCGTTTTTAAATGGTATAATTTGGCTCTTTGTTAAAATTAAACTTTTTCATGTTGACTGGGTAAAAGGCTACCTTACTTAAGGTTATCATCTTTATTATTACGATTAGACCTATCCAAAGCGAGTATTCCATGCACTGATTTAGATTATAATTCATTTACTAGTTATGGATTTATGTATTCAACTTTAATGTCTCTTTTTCCTGAGAGATTTGGACAGTTCCCAGGTTTTAACCCGTGACTTAATGATTGAAAGTCAGATCCCTTAACCACTGAACCATCACACCACCGACGTACCGCTTATTAGTAGCCAATATCTTGTCTTTATCTCAACATTATTTGCATAATATCAATTAAGTCTCAGTGTATTCACTAAACCAAGGCTTAGACAATATTACAGTGGTCTGTATTAAGTGTAAACACTTCAGTACTGTTGAAAGTCAGTCACCAACTAAATTTGCGTAATAATGGCGTATCTGACTGTGACACTACATGACACAAGATCTAAGTCAACGGGGAATATCGATTCATTGAAGACTGCACATATGCCTTAATAACGAAACTTCGTTGCAAAAGATTCCTGTCTTCACTCAACTAACAGCATTCTGAAATTTTTCCATAAGATTATGATGGGTTAGCATGTGAAAAACACTAATGATTTCGTTGACCATGAATTGTAAGAATAGAAAATAAAGTTTTTGACTGTTCTGTTGGGAATTATATCTGGTACAAAGTTATTTACTGTCGGAAACGTACATGAGTGGATGAAATGTCAAATTAGGAGATTAGAGCATGTAATAATTATTTCCATGGGAACATATTTAGATCTGCTAACATGAATTCCTTATGAACGTTGAGCCTTTCCTTACAAAATACACATTTGGAGAAAGCTTTGAGCCACTTAGATACCTACTACTCAATAAAATGCATGCAGCCGAGAGGTATATATACTATATGACGGATCCTGAGCGACATTAAGAATAAATTAGTGATTCCCAGGCGACGTATCAACCAATTGAAATAGTTTGTATGAATCAAGTGTATTTGATTAGAAAAGTGCTGAAACCTGTAAGATCATTGTAGGTTTTGGGAGATGTAGGCAAATCATGTGTAGAAGTTGTGATTTGCTTTATCACTATTACACCACCATCCTTTATTATCTAGAAAATTAATGAAGTGATTTGTTCAGTATTTTACTATGAACGAAGACTACTGGAACAAAAGCTCATCGATTTATGTGTTATTTGGAATCCCCAATTCAATAGCTAAACATTTTTTCGTGTTTTACATTGTCATTTCCACTTTATGATGACAAAAAGAAATTTTTTATACCCATTTTATACATTCTGAGCATCATACAGTACTTTTCACACAATTCAATATAAATATTATTCATGAACATTGTTTTCTTGATCCTAATTAGCTCCTAAATGAAAAACACACACTAGTTTATGTATGGTTAAGTTGAGGAAGCTACAAATAGCCAAACCAAAACTTGAAATTAGTTCATTAGGATATTCACTGATGATGGATGATCTGAGTTGATTATGAGCGTGAACTCGTTTCATTAGGTTAGTATATGTACTTTAGTTCTGTATTCATCTAGCAAGATTATTTTTTTGTTACTTTTTTGATAAATTGTCATTTAAACCATTTTGCTTTTCTTATTTCATCATTATTATTTACAATTAAAGAGCATTATTTCCCCGTGGCCTCAACCTAGTATGTATTATTGATGATCGCGGTGAAGTATGGGATTGGTCTTCCAATTTAATTCATGTTAAACCATATCGGTAAGTTGATATTTTTTCGAATAACAAAAATCTAATTCCATTGATGGATGCAAGATCTGTTCATGATATCTTTTAATTATCAATATTTTACTGTTGTGGATTAAAATTTTCAAACTTGTAAATGAGGATATTTAGGGATTATTAAATCAATGGATGCAATCCACTCGTTGATCGATAATATGTAATGGTATAACCATACTATTAACATAAACCCCTAAGAACTGAACAAGATATCCGATGGGAAGACAATAATCAGTAAAATGGCGTTCACCACCGTTCAAAAATACACCATATTCATTTTGTTCAGGCAGACATTTGGAGGAATATGGAATAGAATAACCAATTGTTTAAGACAAATGTTGTTATAAACAGATTTATAGACCAGTAATTTGCATTTTGTTGTTTGATTTTTTACTAAAACTAGTTCATAATAAATGTAATCAAGCAAAATATGCCCTGTAAAGGTACTTAAAATGTATTATACACATAAACGCGTGTATATCGGCCGTCTGTTCAAGGTCAACATGTTGTCCAAGGACGCCAAGTTTTTATAGCTCAACTGTATCAGTTTAGTAGGTATCAATATCAAGGTTGAATTTGATAGTTTCAAGTTGATTATGATACACACAATGATTTCTATGACAGAATCACTTTGATAAAAAAATAGCATGACATTGACATGTTCAGACTTATTATGATTTTGATTTTACTAAAAATATTCTCCTCTGTTCTATTTGAACTTGTATTAATTCTATTACGATTAATTTATTTTCTCTAAAGAAGTGACTCACACTAAGTTACAAAACGTCAGAAATACAAACTTTTAATCATTAGGATATCATAACAATATATTTATTATGAACTCTGTTGTATCACTCTAACTGTTTATACCATATTCCAGTCGTGTAGATATGAAATGAGTTTTCTTAAAAATTACACTGTTGATACCTCTGCCTTGGTAGCTTTAAGGGCGAGACTATAATTTATGAACGAACCAATCAGATTTACGATAACAGGTCTTGGATTTCGGTACAAAATTCATTCACTCATTTGGCCATATAGAATCTTGGTATAATAGCTGATGTGAGTTCGTGATGAAAACCTTAAATCTAATCCCCAACCCTAACCATAAACTGTAAATCATAATCCTTATTCTTCAAACTGCTTTATAATGCTTATTTAGCCCTAGTAAGTAAGTACGTAGACACTCTCAAAGTTACTTTAACGTCGCTCAGAGGTCCTCCATAAATTATAGTCTTACCGCTTTGAGTTTAAATAATTTTTTAAAATCATTTTTTATTTCTTGGATAGTGTAATAAGAAGACAAAGATTATCAGGACTAACTGTCTTTAAATATCAACCAATTTATAGATAATAAAATATGTCTAAAACATTAATTACAACATATTGACTTCCTTCAGATGATTTAGTTGACGCTTAAGGAGTTTTTAAACATAAGGTTCACATCACAGATTAACATCAAAATGAAGATTTTTTTAAAGTGGGAAAATACTAGAAAAGATATATTACGTTTTTGTTAATGATACCTCGGACATAGAAACTTTTAACCTTATACATGGTGGAAAAGACGTATTGCTCATGAGGTGGATTTAGTTATAAGGCTAGTAAAGCTTTTTAATGTTTAAAACTCAGGTCAGTCAATAGATATATTGAAGTATTGTCAATTTATCAATAAGTTTTTAAAAACTCTTAAACAATCAGAAGGTCAAGAATTGGATCAAGTTAGAAGAAAACTAGAATGTATGTGTATACGATATCAGCCGTACGTTCATATTTATAGTTGTTTGATAAATTTATATCTACAGAAGAATAGAAAGAGATCATGTCGTAAAATAATCCGAGATTTCAAACATCCGAAAAAGGGTGAGTAGTGATTGTAAGGTTATAGAGGACTTTAAAAGTGTTGACAACAAGTAATCACACTTGGTGTTGACAAAACCAACTGTTAGTCATTTGTGGGGAAATTCATGTAGCTCACTCTTATCTGAAGTTTGTGTTAATGACGTTGTATATAAAGACAGTGAGAACTGGACGTTTTCAACTATCAAGCTAGAAGAACGCTTACTTACTTATGCATGTTACCTCTCATGGAGAAGCATAAGTCGCCCACCAGCACTCTCCATCCAAACCTATCCTGGGCAATCCTTCCCAATTCTTTTCAGTTGCTATTCATCCTTTTCATGTCTGCTTCCAATTCCATAAGCAGTGTGTTCTCCGGCCTTCCTCTTTTCAGTTTCTCTTCAGGATTCCAAGTTAGGGCTTACCTTGTGACGCAGTTGCACTTAAACTGTATAAATTATCGATCTCAGGATTTCCATTCCCTAAAACTATGTATATTTCCATTGAAGTGCCAATCTACTTCTCTGTTGTAATTATATTTTATCGTTTCTAATTTAGTTAGAAATGTAGGTCAAGTATCGATCATTACTATTAGTCTGGGATTTGTCCTCACTTTCGTTTTGTTTATCTGATTTCAGCTGATTTTTTTTTAGGAGAAACTTATGTCAGTTGTTTACAGATTGACTTAAATCTTCGGATAAATTTAAATCCATTGACATTAATCTGTTAATCTCATATCAGTTTCTCTACATATTTTCATTTTGATAAATGCTTAATGTAAAAGGTTTGTGATAAATCTTTCCCTATTAATTGTTGACCGTTTGATGATTACAGTATCAATCCAATTGCTTGAAATTGCAATATGCATTTTAAGGTCGAATAGTCAGTCCTCATCAATGAAAGTAAAGCTCATAACTTTTTATGGAAAAATTGGGATAGATGAATAGGATTTCATGTGTGGTAGATGATTAGTGGTGGCAGTGTAGTAGCTAACGTGCTTCATTTTAAACTTTTCGATTTACTCCTGAAATACCCATTCTTCTAGAAGCTCAAAACATCAATAAGCACTTATTCAGTCGATTCTTATTCAATTTTTTAGTGCCACTAACTCACTAGTTTTTTTTCCCTTGACTTGTATTCATTAAGGTGCACACTTAAATGTATCTTCCCAGTGGATTTTATTATTGTAGCTTCGCTTGTGCATTTGAGTATACACATATATTGGATGACATGGTCCAAAACCAGTCATATTGGTGCACAGATACGGTCGCTCTTTCTCTGAATCCAAATATTGAGCTCCTGTATTCCTTCATACATATCTTTCTGTTCAGTCTCTTTCAAAATATACTCTCTTTTAATTTTTCTCATTATTATTCTTTCAACTCTTACCATTCACCTCATTGTGCTAACTATGATATTGACAACTTGGACTAACACACATTTTTAACAGACTCCATGTTGGTTATTGCTAAATAATTATCATATTCAGTTTTTTCAGAAGGGGTTTAGTGGAGATTTTAGTAATTTCAATAGTTGAAATCATGAGTCAATTAAAGCTAGACCACCATGGAAAAAACCTGGAAGCATTAGACGAACCCTTTTTCCTAGTATGGGACTCCTCAGCAGTGCGCATCCACGATCCCACCCCCCGCGAGATTCGAACCCAAGACCTGTCAGCGCTTAACCACTGGGCCACTGAGCCGCCATCCAACGGTGTTAATGTCTAACTCCAACTAATCCACGAAATCGCACCACCGTACACCATCGTCTTTAGTGAGCTGATATCTCACAACCAACCTGGTTGAACTCCACTGGTAACGGCTTCTCACTAGGGTTCCAGGAAATGCCTCTTGAAGTCAGTCACTAGTAAACAGATAATTATTATCAGAAGGGTTTTTATTATTATTGTTCAAGGAAACCACTTTTGAAATATTTTATTTTCATTCTTTTTTATCAGCTTTTTTCCAGATATTGGAGATATTAATGCTTTTCCATGGTCATCACAACCATCATTATCTTCAATCCCTACTTCGTCATCTGATAGTTGTACATCGACTTCAACAAAGGTCACAGAATCCTCCTCCTCACCGTTATCAAATTGTTCAAATGTTCAACTGATCGATAAATCTGACCAAAATATGAATTCACAGGTTGTTGAAGTTAATGAGAGTATTGTATCACACGATGTGGAAGCCAAGTCAAATAACAAGGATAATACTACAACTGCTATCAGCATTGATGAAAAACCGGTTCTCTGTACACTGGATAAGTAAGATTATTATTATTATTATTATTATTATTATTATTATTATTATTATTAATTAATTAATTAATTAATTAATTAATTAAGAGGTATGGCAACTTGGACCGATGCATATATGTGCCTGGTCCTACGTTGTAGCTGACTGAATGACATTAATATCCATATCTCACTGATGATTGCCTTGAGTGCTGTTAGAGGTATGAGGGCGGTTATCACTTCCCGGTTGCTCACACCGTGGAAGGGTTGTTCTGGAGGTACCTGAAAAGGAAATTGGATTAAAGGTGGTTTTAATGACCTGAGAGCGTGACCGCAGTGCCCAAGGGTCAACTACTTGAGGTCGGTCACACACGACCTTTTCATTGTAATTTTTGTGTTAGCTCCGTACTTATTGAGACCTTACCGCCGGAGAGGTGTGAATTTTTAGGGTCGACCTTTTCTAACCCCACCCCTTCTTGTGGGAAGGCAGCATCGCTGCTATACTGGTTGTTTGAAGGAAACACCTTACTGCCGTCACACCTCTGTACAGTCAGCAGTACGACTTCGCCTTCGGACCTGGGGTTTGTTGCTCTTAGTCTTACCGCTCTTCAACCGACCTGTCTGGCATGGTATAGGACCTTGAGGAACGGTTGTTCCACCCAGTATAGCTCGGTTGCTTCATCACGATAGGCAATCCCGACCACCACGTCAAGGTAGCAACAACGGTCGGGATTAGTTTAACAAATATAGTATCTAAAATACTAGCCTCGATAATTATCAAACGCCTAACTAAGACTCGTGAACTGCAGACACGAGAGAACCAAGCTGGACCGATGCACATATGTGCCTGGTCCTACGTTGTAGCTGACTGATTGACTCACTGATTGTCGGATATAAATTTAGTTAAATGTTAAAATCGTTGAAAATGTACAACAAATTGGGTTTTTGTATTCTATCATAGCTTAGTCTTTAGGACATGTGCTACATGGTTTATGATTTGGTGAGTTTTAGACCTGACACTTTTTTAGTTTATAAGACAATCACAATCAATATGACTGACAGCATTCATTGTCATTAGTTTCAATTTTTTTAGGTATTTTATTTGACTAATTTTGTAAATAATGGCCGAATGTATTTACCTGTGCTCTCATATAATGCTTATAACCTTATCACAAATCTAATTACTAAGAAATTCAAGAAGTACTATCACTTCTACAGTGATTTGTATATTATCCTCTTTATACATGTTCTTTGATTACAATAACAAATTCAAATTCATAATAATACTAACACATTAACAATGATGGTCCTATTAGAATTGTAGTCATTCTGTCTACTCGAATCGTATTTTTATTCATAAATCTTCCCGTCTAGCACTGATGTTACTAGTGTTACTTTGGTATTCATCTTACTATCCTTGATATAGTGCGGGGACTTAGATCAATTCTACATTGCTTATGACACACGATTCATTCTATTCAGGTCTTGTTAGCTGGCTTTAACTGCACTTCTGTGTTAATATCCACACCAAGGTGAAAACCCCAGTTTTTTTCGCTTCAAACACTAGTGCATTATTCCCTGAGCTACTGTCTCCTAATGGTCGCTAACTTCTGCAACAAGTATGGATTTCATATGTAAAAGTTGGTACTTTTCCGTTGTTGATCTCAAGGAATGAAACCCTTGTTTATGGTTTATTTTTTTCTATCTTGATTCTATGAATCTAGGACTAATGATAATGCTTCTGTTACTACTACTGATAATAATGATGTTGAATTTTGTCAAACTCAATCAACTAGTGCAAATATCACACTAAACTTATCCAAATCAACTGATAATATTGGAGACCATATAGACGATAATTCCATTACAACTACCGTTGTTGATGATGATCATGACAAGAATGATATTAATAATAATGATGATCATGATTCATTATCGAAAATAAAAGAGATAGAAATAGAAATAGACGCTGCAGATGATGATTATTTATTACGTTTACAAGAGATTCTATTGAGAATTCATCGAAATTATTTTAAAACTTATGATCTATGGCAAACTGGTCATTATAATCATCATAAAACAACATTGATAACAAAATCATCAGAGAATAAACACAGGTAGGTATTAGCAGGTAACATTATCATAGTTAAACCTGATAGATTTCAAACAAATCTAGCTTTTGATGGATTGTTAAAATAATAAAAGATGATGATACATTTTTTAAATATTCCAATGAATGGAACATTTCAATTCTTGACTTTTTTTTGATTAAGCAAAAGCCACTTCTATTCATTCTTGATGTTGCAAAGACATCATTGTTTTTATGATTAAGGGCAGGTATTACTGGTGTTCGTTTGTTTGTTTGTTGAAAATGTTAACTGTAGATTGCGGCGAACGTGAATTCTTTTTCAATTTATTCCAGTATGCCAAACACAATAACATATTGTACCAACACCAAAAGTATTCAAGTTATTCCTCTAATAGCTACCTCAATCCCTGATAAGTGAGATAACAAAGAAAGAAAAACAAGTTTCGTTGAAATCTTAAGGTATTCTTACAAATTTAACATAACGAATGTCATAGTTTTCTCAACTCCAAATATTTTGTCAGAGTAGTCTGTATACGGATGGTTTTTTTGAAATTGGAGTTCGTCAACAATCGTTCAGATAATATTCGTACAATCATAACAGTGAATTTCACTGGTCCAATGTTTTCATTAACATAGGAGATTGATAGTCATTCTGACATTGTCTTCAAATTCTTATGTATCGTTACTGGGAACGTTTGATCCATGTACAAAGAGGTGTTTTCTCAACTACTTTTTTTCTCCATAAACTAGAGAGCTCAATTCTCATATGTATCCGACAAAATATATAGAGATCTCGGTTGGGATCGAAAATCAAGCCTTGTTGCAGTTCCAATTGGATCTAATTGATAGTTTACGTCGTATAGTACATTTTGATTTCAAATTTACATGTACAGTATCCTGTATTTATTTGATATTTTTTCTTCCATCCACCTCAATATTTAACCAGTGACCATTCAATAAACTCATCCATTGTGAATAATTCACGTAAAAATGTCTGCCTAACGAATCCAACTGGAAATACAGATGTTATATCCACGTATTTACCGCATGTTTCTGATATTATAGCCAAATTAAGAAAAACTGTACTTGGTCCTAACTGTCATATCACATTGTCTGGGTTATCACCTGCACATTTTCCTGCTGATCGGTGTTTAGCTGGTCGAATTGTACGCAGTTTAGGCGGTATATTGCATGCAAGCTTAAGACTACCGTCAATATGCAATCAGCCAAATGGTAATGATGATAAGAATGGTGATAATACAACATCTATGCCAGTTAACAACTTGGAGCTAAAGTCCGAGTAAGTTCTCTTTTTCGGTTACTGAAATTTTTTCAATAGAACATTTTTTCCAGATTTGGGTTACTTAATATCATTATTCATTTTAGGAAAAAGTGTTTGCAGCCAGTGAGCAATATACTACTGACTAGTTTTGGTGCTAAAAGTATATGACTTAATACCAGTGAGTAACAAGTTTGAATCCTACTTCATCAATTTTAGATTATTTGATCTTTTGACGTGATACTTGAAACTATGACTCATATTTGGAACCTGTGTTGCGTATGCCTGGACGTTTCCTATTTATGGCACTGCTCTGAACTGTATATAAGCAGTGAGAGGTAATCAAACCAAAATATGTCTCTAGTTCATGAAATCGTTGTGTGTTGATCTGTCCCTTGTGAAGAGAAAGACTTCTTTGTTTGAGGTTTGCGCAATAATCACAGACAATAGGTAAAGAATTAGATAATATGGGCTAAAATCACTGACAGTAATACAAACATACACGTTCTACATCTTACTATTTATCGTGAATTTGAATATAACTTGTTAGTGATTCGATTCATTTATTTCAAATCGTACTCTCTATGTTTATAGGTTTTTGGATGATTGGTATGTTTGTTACTGGAACTTGTGTAAGGTTCTCTATGGCATTACTTTCTGATTGAAATGCATTGAATGATGATAGAAAGATATCCTTATCAAAACTCCACTTTCTTAAACCAAACTACAAGATTCTCGTCAACAATTCTGATCTTGTTAAAGTCTTTTTAATTTTGGTCCTTAATATGTTTTCGGAATATGTAAATGTAATGTATTAATCAGTGTAGATATGGTTGTGCTCATGTAAACATATGACAGTCATTAATATATTATATCAACTTGCTTTCTTAGATATTGACATGAACAAAAATAAATTAATCATTTCAAATCCTTACGGTCAGAAACAGGACTTGTACATAACAAATTATCAAAGTGAAAAGATCTTTTCATCAATGGTAGTACAAGTAAAAACAAACAAACAAACTGATAAGTTCGATGGGTTACGTAATAATTATAAAAAGTTTGAAGAGTCGATAGACTTTTTAAGAATTAGGTAAATAAGAAACACAGATGAATAGAGTTTTGACGTAAATGAAATAACAATAGGGTTAACGAGGATTGCATAACGAAATAAATTCAATGTAATGATAATGATAATAAAGACAGGTGATTTTGATCAAGATTGTAAATTTATCAATCCAATGATAAATTGATATCTATGTCTTTCTGGAAACAAATCCAGTGGTCTAGTTGGTTAAGCGCCTGGCGCGAGACTGATAGGTCTTGGGTTCGAATCTTGCGGTGGGCGGGATCGTGGATGCGCTCTGCTGAGGAGTCCCATACTAGGACGAAACGGTCATCCAGTGCTTCCAGGTTTTCCATGATAGTCTAGCTTCAATTGACTCATGATTTCAACCAGTGAAATTCAGTTTAAGTTTTCTATTTGCTACTGCTTCAGCGAAATAAAAAGAAGTTGTGTTATTATGTCTAGAACAGATGAAGCTAAAATATAATTGATGAAACTACATTCTACTGTAGATATATTGATGATACATTTCTTGTCTGCCACAATCAGAAGCATTCCACATATCTCCTCAATCTATTCAGCAAAGTATACAACGATATAGAATTTACTATAGATCATCAGTTTTTCCTAGATGTTGGAACAAACTCTAAATGGCAAACCAAAAAGACACATCTGTCGCAAAAACACGTAGAGTGTAACTTATCTGAACTACAACAGCCTCTATCCAATAAGCTATAAAAATGGAATTGTGAAAACCCCTTATAAACGTGCTCGTGAACTCAGCTCCTAGAAAAGCTTGTGAGAAGAACTTGCTTTCACCAAAACCTGTCCACGTCAAAATGCATACCCACTGAAATTCACTGAGAAGCATTCTAAAATTTTAAAAAGTGCATTAATTACGATACTACTGGTAGAATTATTCATAGAGTAAATGTTACAATGAATAATACTTGTCCAGCACCAGGTTCAATCACATTGTGTGAAACGAACTTCCCTTTTAATACAAATAAAAAGCAACGGGTCCTCTTTTTTCAGTACCTCCAACTACATCTATCAATTAACGTGTATGTCCCAAGGGGCATACATTAGAAAAAGAGCGAGCATAGTACATGTTCTTATTTCAGAGCACATTCCAAAGAATTCAAGATTGGTAAGTGCAATAGGTTGGCATCTAATTGATAGTTGGCACATTATTGACGTTTGGAAATTCTTCAAACTTATCAACAGACAAAATAACTCAGCTTCTATTTGTTTCGCTAAAGCAGTATCCACTAAAAACTTTTAAACTGGATTTGTGTTCATAAAGAGACAGTTATCAGTTTATCATTGGATTGGTAAATTCACAACCGTGATCAGTAAATAAATGGTTATGTCCCTATTAACGCATAAATTTCATCTTTAATGTGTTCTATATACTTACCTACAAACTTTTATCAATGTTCGTTCAAATCTAGATAAAATTTCAGGTAATGAAATGTTGCATCTGATTCTAACGTAGGTAGAAGTAGATATCATCACCTGGAGGGGTCCATGACTGTTTGCATTAGAATGACCTCGAAACACAGTTTGTCGGTGTTTCACTTTAAAATCTTTCAACCGTTAAAAAAATTTGTACATGGATTATCTACAGAATTGATGGATCATCTCTATAAGTTTTTAGTTGACTCTTCTTTGTTGATATTTATTGTATATGATTACATTTTTTATTGTATTACTCGGTTCTATTCTGTATTGAATGGAAAAAGTGTACTGATAAAGCATCAAATAAGTGTCGAATGTAACAAAACCTATGGCTTGTACACCATTTGTACACATAGCTTGCATACCATTCATTCTGCTGTAATTTTGAGTTTATATAATGTGAACCATGACGCGTTGTCTAATATTATAGTGTCTGAAAATCCGTTACAGCAGTAAACCTCTATCAATACTAGAAAGATTTTGTCGGTGCACACGGATAATTTCTGGATATTTTCAATTGCCATTAACCATTACAAGATATGTTACACTTTATTGGGGTGGAAAAGTCGATATGTAGTCGTGTGTATGATTTCCCTGGTTCTGACCAAGGTGTTGATGGGTTCTCTACCGCTTAGTTTTGCTGATGACGACACTTGAAGCAGATGTTCACAAGTTCTGACTGATACAAATAATGTTGAAATTATTAATTACCTTGACCTATAGTTTCTATAAACTACACTCATTTTATGTAAACATGTTTAGTTCCGTAAACTAAAATTGTGTCAAATTCATTGTTAAGTTAGTGGGATTTTTGAGACTGTTCAGTATGAAACCAGGATTCCATCGTTGAATAATATCAACTAGAGGGCCATAGTGGATTGGACAGAGTTTTCCTCTTAACAAAGAACTCTTGATTATAACTTCATGAATCTATTTTTTGAGACATTCTAATATAGAATGAAACCACTTTTTAGCTTTCGGACCTTCTCCGAAAAGCTAAGCGCTCGGATGTAGTAATAGTGGCCGGTGACTTTAATGCTCAAGTAGGTAAACTAAGCGATAGGGAAAGACACCTAGGTGGATCTTATGGTGTCGTGGCTCAGAGAACAGATAATGGCGACCGTCTGTTGCAGCTATGCTCAGATAACCGCCTGTTCCTTGCAAATACTAACTTTAAGCATAAGGAAAAACATCTTTTAACATGGCGACCCCCTAATTCGTCCCAACGTTGGACCCAAATAGATCACATCGCTATCAGCCACCGATGGAGGGGCTCGATAGAAGACTGTCGCTCATTCTGGAGCACATGCTTAGATTCAGATCATGCTCTAGTGCGAGAGCGTATTTGCTTGCGTCTTACTGGACGTAGGAAAGACGCTGCAAGGAAACCTCTTAGGGGCCTACTTAATGATAGTCAAGCTAAGAATATATTTCAGGAACAACTAGGAAAACAGTTAGGCCATGTATGTGATGCCCATCCCGAGGCAGCATGGAATGATATCCGAAAAGCTGTGGAAACAGCAGTGATATCTGTTAGTAAGGTAAACCACAAGGTTAGGGAGCAACACTGGATCTCAGCAGCATCTATCGCACTGATAGATGCTCGGAAACTCATTCCACCTGGCTCTGAACATAGTGAAGAGCGGAGTCAGCTTAAGCGCTAACTGACATGAAGTCTACGCAATGATCGCGAACAGTGGTGGGTAGCGAAAGCAAGAGAGATGGAAAAGGCAACGGCAATAGGTAATAGCAGACAATTGTTTAGACTCGTTAAGGAAACCGGAATTAGGAACCCGACTGTTAGCGAAACAATCTCAGAGAAAGATGGACATATTATTCATTCTCAATCCAGGAGATTGGATCGATGGGCAGAACACTTTAGGGATCAGTTCAACTGGCCTTCAGCCACACTTCGGTTTCCCACGATCTCTAGTCAACCTGAATGGCAAGTTAATGTAGGTCCTCCGTCTCTTTATGAAGTTGAAAAAGCCATAGGAAATCTGAAACGAGGGAGAGCAGCAGGTCCTGACAGGTTTACTCCTGAGATTTTTAAGGATGGTGGTCCAGTATTAGCAATGAGATTAACCGAGGTCTTAGGTAGAATTTGGGAACTGGACGTAATCCCATCTGACTGGTCTCAATCACTGATTGTGCCAGTTTATAAGAAAGGACAAAAGTCCTCTTGTGACAATCACAGAGGAATCAGTTTGACTAATATAGTGTCTAAAATATTAGCCTCAATAATACTTCGACGCCTAATCAAAGCTCGTGAAGAGCAAACTAGAGAAAACCAGGCCGGTTTTCGACCTGGACGTGGTTGTATAGATCAGATATTCACACTACGTCAGGTTCTAGAACACAGGCACACATTCAGACGCCCCACAATGGTAGTATTTCTCGATCTTAAGGCGGCATTCGACTCTGTTGACCGTGAGGTTCTATGGCAGTGTTTGTCACTGAAAGGAGTACCAAAGAAGTACATTAACCTTATAAAGGCTCTCTACTCGAACACAACTGGTAGAGTGAGAGCTTATGGCGAACTGTCATCAGAATTGATTACCTCAAGTGGTGTTCGTCAGGGCTGTCCACTCTCCCCATTCTTGTTCAACTTTGTGGTCGACGTACTTTTAGAGATAACACTCTCCTCATCTAAATTTCCGGGGGTTGAACTTCTACCGGGAGGTTCACTTGTTGACTTAGAATATGCAGATGACATAGTTTTATTTGGTGAAGACGCTGACAAAATGCAGAGTCTTCTGACCACTCTAAGCAACAATGCAAGCATGTTCGGGATGCGATTCTCTCCCTCGAAATGCAAAATGTTGCTTCAGGATTGGGTTACATCGACACCCGAACTAGTGATAGGGAGTGAAGTAGTTGAGTGTGTCGACCGCTTCACTTATCTTGGAAGTCTCATCAGCCCTTGTGGTCTGGTATGTGACGAAATCTCAGCACGGATACAGAAGGCTCGACTAGCCTTTGCCAACTTGCGTCATTTATGGCGTAGGCGAGATATCCGTCTACCAACCAAAGGACGTGTTTACTGCGCAGCAGTTCGTTCCGTCCTACTTTATGGCTGTGAAACATGGCCGGTAAGAGTAGAGGATATTCGTAGGTTACTAGTATTTGATCATAGGTGTCTTCGAAACATTGCTCGTATATCCTGGGACCACCGAGTAAGTAACACAGCTGTTAGGAAACGGGTACTAGGTAAGGATGGCAAATCAATTGATGAAGTAGTGAAACTTCATCAGTTGAGATGGCTGGGACACGTGTTACGTATGCCCAACCACCGACTACCTCGACGTGCTATATTCAGTGGTATAGGAGTAGGTTGGAAGAAAGCTAGGGGCGGCCAGACCAAAACATGGCACAAATCCATGAAGTCACTGACAAGTGGACTGAGTCATGTTGGTAGGTGTAGACTACCTGGTTGGGGACCGCGAGATGATAGCAACCGATGGTTAGAGACCCTGAATGACATGGCTCAAAATCGTTTGCAATGGCGGAGGTGCATCCACTCTCTATGTTCTCCCAAATTCTAATTATCTGAATTCTTCATGCCCCCTTTTTTTTCCTCTTTCCAAATTTATTTCACTGGATTATACTCGTTAAATAACATCTCCAAACCCTAATCTTCCCGATTACTGCTTATACTCTTGCTACCTCTACCACTACGGGATTTGAATCGACCACTGCATCTCTGTGCTAATGTGGTATGGCAACTCGAACTGATGTACGTACGTACTAAGTTCTACGTTGTTACTGACTGACTGACTGACTTTTTAGTACACCCTAGTTTCAAATGAATCTGTGATTGAATTCAGTCTATATCAGAAGCTGTTTTCAAATTTATTATTCATAAATACAAGCAATTGATTGGATGTTTATGTATGTTATGACAACTTCACGCGGCCTCTTTCGGAACAACGTAAACGTGTCTCGTAATCATATAATAAATTTGTTAGTAAGTAGTAATAGTGTACGAAAACTATTCAAAATACTGCTATCTATACCCCCGTTGATTTTAATAAGGTTTTCTTTCGAGCAGTACATATATCAGACTTATTATGTACTGTGTACATGTTCTTTGAAAAGCTTTAAGGGTAGTTATTCTTCGCAAAACAAATTTGATTGAATGTAGAGCAAAAAGGTTTGTCTAGATGACAACATAATGAAGGTCATCTGTTTAATGATGTGATCAGCTAAAAATATGCGGAATATACATAAATAGTCATTCGCTGAAGTGCTCTTTACAGATAAGGCTAAAGGATCGTCAAAAGAAGTTCGTGATCGTTTGTAGTATGTGACATGTGTGAATTTATTGGTTTCTTAACTGTCAGATTCTTGTAATGCTTAAGATCGGTATTGAAGCAGATTTTAAGTAAAATGGCTCAAAATAAGTCATATTGGCTGATGAAACCGAAGCACAACTTGAACCTATGAGCTTATGAAGAACTTGATCTCTCACACATCTCAGATTTTCCATTGTAGATAACTATAAGGGAACCGTTATTTCATTGTCTGTTACAAATCTCTTGATATCTAAATTGTTTCAATCACTTATGTTGCAAAACAAATTAGTATCACATTTCAAAATTATTGTTCAAGAAATTCACAAATAGGTGTTTATTCGGTTCCATTTACCATACTTCATCTTAGATTTCTCTACGTAAATAGAATCGTAATAATTGAATAAGAGGTATAATGTATTTCTTCACGTAATTTTGATACTTTACCGATTAATAATTGTAACACCTCATTAATTCACCATTACAAACTTCTTCGAACTGATATCGTCTATTCAAAAATAATTTCCAATCACATCGATAATGTCTGAATATATACACAACTTTAGTAACACTAGTTTAACCACTGCTAAATGAATCTTGTTTTGAACAGGTAACATGACTCGAAAAATCTTTATCATATCACAGTTCTCATTCACATTTTGATTACTTAAAAAAAGTAGAACTTGAGCCAGGGATGATAACTCCACTTTTGTTCTTATTCTTCTTTTTCGCCAACTGACATTACATTTAGCGACGCTCCGTGCCCAACTACCGCCATCTCTGGGAGATTATTGAAGTCCGGTAGTAACACCATGAGGTTTGACAATGTGTGTTCAGGGATAGTGAAGATAATCCCCTCCTTTATTTCTCTTTGAAATTATCTTTATGATGTTTAGCCCATACTCCTTTTAGCGTCCAAATGTATTACATTTCATCCATATTAAATAAATCACAATAATTTCCATGTTCAATTTGGTAAATTTTTTATCTTTTCATTTCTTTGAAATGTCTTGAATAAGTCTTACATGCGTTTCAATATTATACCATTAGTCTATAGGTGGACAATCAATAACCGAACGAAGTAACTGCTTGAATTCTTACTAACAAAACAGAAGTACATAGTTACTCATATTGTGATGTCATTGTTTTCTTTTTTAAAGTAGCAATATAACTCACCACCCATAAATACTTGATGTTCCAACTAGATATTCAGTTAATTAGTATTAGTTAGTGTCAGTCAGTCAGTTACGACGTAGGACCAGGCACATATGTGCATTGATCCAAGTTGCCACACCTCATTAGCACAACAAGATGAACACCGAATTCATGGAAGTAGTTACTTCAATGGTAGTAATATATAAAAAAGATTGATTACTGAATATATTATCTTTTTTAAAAGAAACGTGTTAGTCCTTGCAAATATTTGTAAGCCTTACTTGTTTTCTATTTAATAAAATTTTCTTTAGATCTCATGGTATTGCGCATACTCACTATACAACGCATTTAATTGCTTGTCGTAGAGGAACAGAAAAAGTACATGCTGCATTAAAATATCTTACAATAGATAATAATAATCTTCAATTAAATAATAATTCATCTTCACATTCACTTCATCTTGTTTCACCGCAATGGTTATGGTCTTGTCATTATCATTGGGATCATGTATGTGAATCAAAGTATCCGTTAGATCGTGATTTTCATCCAAGTGATTTTGATCCGGATATTGAACCGATTCCAGGTACAATTCGATATGCGAAACGTATGCGACGACACTATTATCATCATCATCATTCCCATATTAACCCTTCTGATGGACTTCATCATCATTCTACGCATAATGATAATCGTTCACGTCATCATCGCCACGGTCATAGTCGTCATCACCACCATCGTCATTCTCAACATCATACTCATCTTCAAGATAAACATTATCATAAGCATTCACATAAACATCATCGATTATCTATGGAATTAGAACCGTCTTCTGATATAAGTGATGACATGTGGGTTTTCAATATGTATTTCACGTAAAACACGTAAATTTTCTATTTCGTTAATTTTAACATACTTTTATGAATAAATAGTAGCGACTTTATTATAGGTGGTGGTATGTTGTATTGGATCTACACACATATTTACATAGTAGGTTAATATAGTCAATCATGTAAGTTATGGAACTTGATCTTTATCTATCTTGTCATATATAGATCATCTTCATATGATGTTTACTGGATTCTTCAGTAGGCGATATATACAACATTATGATCAAACTATATATACATAGACGAGAAAAAAGTTAAGTAACAGTTGTTAGATAATAATTCGTTATGAACAGTTTACTAATTAAAGTTAAACTTAATATAGTTTGCAACGCAGATCGATTTCAGCTGAAAACTCATTGAGAACTTGAATGAGTTGGTAGCTCTGTGATTAAATTGTCAAACTTTCAGCTATTAAGTCTCAGGTTTGAACTACTTTTATTCTACTTCGGTTTGGATAAACCGTTAACATCGCCAGACTTCATATTTAGAGTGTGACTCTAAACCAATTATATAGATTTGTGCCTTATAAGTTACATCAACACTAAATGCATTGAACGACTACTTTTCTCTAGTTTGGTAATATTTCAGTAATGATCACTCGTGTGTATTTGGTACATGACTTACTTACTTACGCATGTTACCCCTCATGGAATAGATAGGCCGCTCACCGGCGTTCTCCATTCAACTCTGTCCTGGGCAATCCTTTCCAGTTTCTATCGATTCTTTGCATGTCTGCTTCCGATTCTTGACGCAGTGTGTTCTTCGGTGTTCCTCTTTTCCGTTCCCCTTCACGATTTCAGGTATTAAGCGCTTGTTTCGTGATGCAGTTTTGTGATTTCGTAATATATACCCTATCCACTTCGAGTCTTTTCCTAACTCCCTCCTCATCAGGAATCTGGTTTGTTCTCTCCCACATTAGGTTGTTGCTGATGGTATCCGTCCAACGGAGGACATTGAATATCTTGCATAGACAAGTGTTTATGAATACTTGTACTTTTTTGATGATTGTCGTAATAGTTCTCCAATTTTCAGCTCCGTACAGTATGACTGACTGTCTCGACGTTCATATTGAAGATTCTGACTTTGATATTAGTTAATAATTGTTTTGGATTCCAATGCTTTCCCAGCCTTGCCAATTCTCTCCTTTACGTCTGCATCAGATATCCTTGTTCATCTATGATGCTGTCCAGGTATGTGGAAATTTCCACCTGTTCCACAGTTTCCCCACCGAGTATGATTGGGTAGGTGTTCTATGTGTTACATTTGAAGATCTTCATTTTTCCCTTGTGTATGTTGAGAGCTACTGATACAGAGACTGCTGCTACTGCACTGTCTTTCTTGATCTGAATTTGTTGATGTGTATGGGATAGGAGGGCTAGGTCATCTACGAAGTCTAGGTCGTCTAGTTGATTCCGAGCTGTACATTATATTCTGTGCTTCCCGTCAGATGTGGGCGTTTTCATAATCCAGTCGACCACCATAAAGTCCTTCTATCCACACTGTCGAATGCTTTCAGTGGATCTGGTCTATTCAAGAGTTCCTCAAAATATTCTACCCATGTTTTCCCCTGTTCTTGAATCTCGGTGATTGGCTTGCCTTCTTTATCCTTGACCAGTCTCTCTGGTTTACTATATTCCCTTTCCAGTTTCTTCACATAATTGTCTCATATTTACTTCTCTTGAAGCTTTTTCCATTGTCGTTGCTTGCTCTTCCACGTATTTGTGCTTGTCAGTTCTAATGCTCCTCGTTTGTTTGTTTGTATCTGTGTATTCATCTTTTGTCTTGACTTTCTCTGTTCTTGTTCGGCTGTTTTTGATTGCTATCCTTCCTTTTGAGTCTTGTCCAGGATTTCCATAGAGATCCATTCCTTATGATGATGTTTGTTGCGGCCCAGAACTTCATGACACGTTGAAGTTAAGGCTTATTTGATCCCTTCTCAGTTTTCTTCTATAGTAGTTTCTTCTTTCAGTAAATCCTTTAAGGGTTGGAACCTGTCGTTGATTTATCTTGAATTCGTTGAGTTTTTCAGTATCCGGAAGAAAGGTTGTATTGAACCTTTGTAATGATGTTTCTCCATTTGTCTAGTACTTTTTTAGATTCAGTTTCATGATGAAAACCAACAGTTGGTGGTGATCCGAAGTCATGTCAACTCCATTCCTGCTTCTCACGTCTTTCATTGACCTTCTGAATTTTTTGATGATGCAGATATGATCGATCTGGTTCTGTGTAGTGTAGGAATATTGAGTCGCCTATAACCATTTTGTTGAAGGCTTATAAACTTGCAAATCTATCACCATTCTCGTTCTTTTCTCCTAGTCCATATCGTTTCATGATATCTTCATTCCCGATTTTGTCCATTCCGACTTTTGCGTTTAAGTCTTCCACCAAGATGATCAGGTCCATTCCTGGACACCTCGCTATGATCGATTTCAGCCTCTCATAGAACTGATCTTTATTATTGTTGTTGCTGTTATTGGTAGGTGCATAACATTGGATAACATTCATTGTGATCCTCTCGCTCTTTATTTCGAAGGATGCTCTGACGACTTTTGATCCATGAGACTCACATCCTATACGGGCATCACGTGCTTCTCTGGATAGCATGATTACAACTCCTTGAGTGCGCGGAGCATTTTCTTCTTCGTGACCGGATTACAGTAGCGTTTCTCCCGTATGTGGATTTTGCTGTTCAGCTTGGGTGCAATGGGTTTCACTGATTCCGAGCACCGTCAAGTTGTATCTCCCTATTTACGCAGTTATTTGATTTGTTCTCTCGGTCTCTTATATTATCTGAACGTTCCATGTAATTTTAAAATTTTTGCTGTTGTTGTTAGAAGGGGCATCGGCCTCGTGACTTCCGAAGGATCTAGGTCTTCATCATGAGTCGTCATAATTTTTCCTTCAACTCGGAGTCCAAAATTTGAATTGTTTAATTTATTTTTTTCTAACTAGCGTTTATTTAGCAAGTTTTTTTTACGTGATGGTGTTGGCGACCCCATGCCCAATCCTCCTCCTTCTTGAGTGCTTGGGATCTGCAGTATCCCTAGAAGAGGTACAGGTGGAGTTATTGTACAAGACCCATGCTATTTAATTAATTACAATGTACAACAATTAGTTTGGATAACATGACATTTCAGTAACAAAGTAATGTGAGAAATAAATAACAGGTACACACTAAAATTCGTCACTGAAAATAATGACAACCTTAACAATAAAACTGTAGTAAAATAATACAAGATCTGATTTGATAGTCCCTATTTGAAGTTTGTGCTGATGATGTCGTTCAGAAGAACGATGAAAGCTCCACGACCAAACTATCCAGCTCAGAGAACAAAACTCCACCAAAGTCACTAAATTCACAGAGTCGATGATAGTGTTTAGCACTGAAGTTCGAAATTCATGTTTCATTCTATTTACCACTTAGATTAAACGTACATATACATCTTAGTGTTGATGTTTTCATTGAAACTTGCATTTAGTATCCATCATTTATCACTAAACTAATGAATCATTAAGACCACATAATCGGCTCTTGATATTTCTTTATCTTGTCTGTACTACTGATGGAATAATTTGGAACTTTTTTAATCCTAGCTGGATTTATTACTGACTTAACCTCAATAGTAAGTAGTTGGTTCATGTTTTCACTATTCATTCGACTAATTCAAAGAAAATTAATATATTAGCACATAATAAGATACTTATAGTTTGTCGCTTTTTAGAAAAATAAGTCATTAGATGAACAGAACTATATAAGTTATTTAGTTTAAATGAAGTATAATTTTTCTAACAAACATTGTTCTTTTTTTCTTCTGATATCATATATTTAGTGAACAGAAAATACCTCGTCTAGATCCAAGTGTAGTCCGATCCGCTTTAGATTCTATTCGTACAGAACGAGAAAATGATCGCAAACGTAAATTGAGAAAGAAATCTAAAACTAAAAGACATTATAAACGACACCGTCGAGATTTATCTCATCATGAAAATGCAAAAGTGAAGAATATTTCATTAATTGATAATGGTAAGAAATTAATTATATGTGTTATGTACATAGATAACTTTTTATTAGTATGCAACCTTATGAAGACGAATGAGAGAACCAATATGAGTAGAAAGATTTAATTGGCAAACTGATTGATAACGTGAGCTTTGCACAATCATCTTTCCCTTCCCTGTTTTCAATTTCCGACCTAATATTTGACTTTGAGGGTGGCAAACGGGCTGTCTGCTGAGGAGTCCCATACTAGGATGAAATGATCGTCCAGTGCTTCCAAGTTTTCAATGGTGGCCTAACATTGATACATTTATAATATCAATCCAAAATAAAAAAATTACAGTAGTTAAAAAATGCAATAAACTCATTGTACCTACTTATTGGTTCATTCGTCATTTATATTTAATTGTTTAAAAATATTAACATTTTCGGGCACAATTTATGTATGTTCATTAGGGAAGCATAAATTATTTAGTAAATATCAGAAGGGGGTTTTGTGGGTATTATAGTGATTTTAATAGTTGAGATCATTAGTTAGTTGAACCTAAACCACCATGAAAAATCTGGATGTACTGAACCGCCGTTTCGTCCTCGTATGAGACTCCTCAGCAGTGCATATACACGGTTCCGCGAACAGGATTCGAACCCAAGACCTATCGGTTTTGCGCGTGAACGCTTAACATCTAGACCACTAAGCCGATCGGCGTCTAACGGTGTTAATATCTTACTTCAACTAATCCACGAAATCGAGCGACACATCCACCATTGTCTTCAGTTAGTTACTATCTCACAACAGACCCGGTTTAACTCCATTCCTAGGTTCGAATCTCGCGATTCGGAATTGTGGATGTGCACTGCCGAGGAGTCCCGTACGAGGACGAAACGGTCGTTCGGTGCTTCCAGGTTTTCCATGGTGGTCTGCCTTCAGTTGACTCATGATCTCAACTATTAAGATTTATTAAATAAATTGAGTATGAGAGTTTAAATTAGTAGATTTTTTATGATTAATTAAAACTATAGTTTTTTTAAATATTAAGTTCTTCGCATGATTTCTTTTTTGTTATCAAAATAGTTGAAAGTTAACTGCTGACTCTTTTTAAACATAACTGGTTCTAGTCTCCATCGATTGTTATAGATTTCATGAGTCAGAGTAGAATTCAACTGATTATTGTGAACCTCCACATTGAATCTTTATTATATCAAACATGTAAAAGATGACGTAAAATTGAACTATCAAGACTTTGATGTAGTGGAAAATACTTAATAATTCTATTCATAATTGATAACTCAATGACACGGTTCAGAATCGTTAGCAATGATACAGACGTATTCATTATTTCTTCTCATTAAATCTTGATTTTTAAACTTGTCTTATAGTTTTAAATTTTATGAATTCATTATTTCTTCACACGTATACATTGTCCGTGCTTAAACTCTTCTATCACCATTGATATTGTTAATACTTCGACTATTCTGACCTTAGTCTTGAAATAGTGTAGCAACTTGAACCGATGTACATATGTTCCGTGTTGTACATTGTTTACTGCTGATAATGTTTTTTACCGGGAACTCTACTTTATTATTATTCTCGTTTATTTATTTGTTTTACGCATAATTTAGTAACTATAAATGATCAGGGTGGAATAGTGTCTGAAAATGAAAGTTCTTCATCTTCTTCGTCATCACCATCATTGAAATCTGATTCCTCTATAGAATCAGATCTTGATCATCATGAGAGACAACCAAATAATCCATCATCATCATCCACAGAACATTCCACAAAGCAAGGAAATATTTCAACAGAAAATTCGAAATTAGCATGTTTATTTGATGAATCATTATGTGATCATACTGAAATTTGTCAAAATAATAGTATTATAAATTGTGATCTATGTAAATCAAATTCATCATTATTATGTAATTCTGACAAGTTACTAATAAAAAGTCCAGTTGATCATTATGTGACAGAAATTAAAGATGAAGGAGATCAAGATTTCAATGAATATACAACAACAAGAAATCTCATAGAATTAAACGATGATGAAGAAGAGAGAGAAGGTACAGGAAACACAGAACAGTTCAATGGGGATGACGAAGATGTTAATGACGATGATGGTGAAGAGGATGAACATTCCGATTTAACCAATGAACAAATTGAAGGAGAAGAGGAAGTTAAAGCTCAACTCAGTGACTATTTACCACCTCCAACAACTTTAGTATTGGCAGATAATCCTTTGATGCACTTACCTCCAGATGTAGGTCATTTTATTCAGGAAAACGTTTTCTGTAACTCGATTTCATAGTTTTAACAGTACAGAGTTGTAGCTTGTATTTACCTGTATTATAAAAAAAACATTCACAGATATTGTAAACCAAAAATATTAATTTGTTTAAATAGTTGCGTAATGTCATGAATTGGTCAGGGTAGGAAAAATTTCCTACTAGATTCCATATCGGTAACTTCAAGTTAATGTATTTCCTGACAGGTCTAAAAGTCATAAAATCAATCCTTGACGGATTTTGTGTGTACACTACTGAAGAGTTCCATAATGAAATGACGATACAACTATTCAATATTCTTTGGCTAAACTGATTTCATGATGTAAATTATAAACTGGACAGAGACAAATTATGTATACAATTCATATTGTTCAAAATTATTGAATTGATAGCTTACTGGTTAACTCGTGTTTGTATTATGGAATGGAACTTCATTGAAAACTGGATGGATAGTGGCTAGCAGTGGAATCCAGGATGCGTGTTTCATCACATTTGGGACTCGTCGGCTGGATGTACCTCCATCTCAGAGTCGATGTTCACTGTGGGATTCGAACCCAGTACCGTCCGTTTCAAACGCCATCGCGTTATCCACTTAGCTACTGAATCCTGATAGCCATTTGCTTGTGCAATGAGGTGAAGTTTAATTCACTTGGTATTGCTTTACTTGAATCTTCCCATTGATGTTTAGGACTGCAGTTGATCAATCTCTTATTGTCATATATGCATACTGTCTGTATTGCCTTAATTTGCAAGCATTATGAGCAAAAATGGATAGTGGCTATTAGTGAAATCCAGGACGCGCGTTTCATCTTATTTGGGACTCGACAGCTGGATGTAAATTAAAACAATATCGAGACAATAAGCACGAAACGCGCGTCCTGGATTCCACTGCTAGCCACTATCCATCTCTGCTTATAATGTTTGTAAATTAAGGCAATATCGAGGCATACGCACAGTATGCACATATGCCAATAAGAGACTGATCAACTTCAGTCCTAAAACATCAATGGGAAGATTCAAATAAAACAATATCAAGCGAATCAATGGGAATATTCAAGTAAAACAATACCAAGTGAAAACGTATGGCTTATAGTTGGATTGATTTTAAACAAAACTAAATTGTTTGTTAATAAGTTAGCGAGTTGATGTGTGGGCGTGGATGATAATGATTAGGTGTCTGCTTAGTCAGACATGTAGATAGTCTGACAAGTGTCAGATCAATTATATATTCCCCTATTCTTATTATTACTCACTTATTATTGATTGTTCATTGTTGTTAGATTGTGTCAGGTTTTTAGTGTGGAAATATATTTACGTTGTGGTCAGGCTAATCATGTGTTCTTGATCATCTGAGTTGTGTTGACGTCCTATAGAATAGACACTAGGATGGAATCTAGTGTAGATATTCGTCTAAGATAAATTAACGTCCCATCCATGTAAACATGGAAAAATGAACCGTTATAACATTAGACGAAGTAAAACCGAATGTTTTAACACGACTAATAAGATATTAACTGCTCTTTGACATCATATTCAATTGATTTTCTATGTTATGTTCTATAAAGTTTTTGATGAACGAAATCTACTGATTTGTATTTTATTATGTAAATGTTAGGTTGGTGGGGCGGGTAGGAATAGTAGATTGTCTGTTATATGCATACATATATACCATTTTGCTTTTCTTTTCACAAAATGAACATTATATAGGCAACTGGTAAAATGCTCGCTGAAATTGAAGATGCTGTTCTTGAAGAAGTAACTGAAAGAGCTACATCAGTTCCTCGAGAAGCTGAAATCTATGATCCAGCTATAGATAATTTTAATGATTCTTCGTCAACAGATTCTTCATCAGACAATCAAACATCTGTTGTTGAATTAACTAAATTTCATAAATCTCATATTACAACTAAAGAATTACTCAAAAATCCAATGGAATGTGATCGTAGAACATTAAATTGGCAGGTAAGGAATTGAAAGATTCAGTTTAATGTTGAATGGAAAATCCAAAACAATAATTGTGCCATAACATCAAGGATCATTCAAACTTATCCTCTTGATGATTTATTATACAAATTTGAAAATATGTTTACTTGAAGATCCTTAAATGTACTGAAATATTGAATGTTTAAGCCAATATAACTTGTTTTCCATCATAGTATTCGATCATAGGTCTCTTTGAAACATTGCTCGTATATCCTATGACCACCGAGTAAGTAATGTAGTTGTTAGGAAACAGGTACTTGGTAAGGATGGCAAATCAATTGATGAGGTAGTGAAACTTCATCAGTTGAGATGGCTGGGACTCGTGAAACGTATGCCCAACCACCGACTACCTCGACATGCGATGTTCACTGGTATAGGAGTAGGTTAGAAGAAAGCTAGGGGCAGCCAAACCAAAACATGGCACAAGTCTATGAAGTCACTGACAAGTGGTCTGAGTCATGTTGGTAGGCGTAGACTACCTGGTTGGGGACCGCGAGATGATAGCAACCGATGGTTAGAGACCTTGAATAACATGGCTCAAAATCGTTTGCAATTGCGCAGGTGCATCCACTCTTTGTGTTCTCCCAAATTTTAATATCCTGATTCCTCATTTCTTTTTTCCTCTTTCCAAATTTATTTCACTGAATTATACTCTTTAAATAACATCTCCAAACACTAATCTTTCCGATTACTGCTTATAATCTTACTACCTCTATTACTACGGGATTTGAATCGACAACTGCATCTCTGTGCTAATGTGTTGTGGCAACTCGAACTGATGTAAGTACGTACAAAGTTCTACGTCGTTACTGACTGACTGATCATCTTTATACCCCAACTTATATTGTATTATTAAAGAAAGATTTTATAGAAAGTAGGGTGAACGAATTTTCGATTGTTATAATATAGCAATTTAATATTGATTATTGATAAAGATGATCTACAACTACTTATGATATAGCCAAGTGACGGTTGATCAAAATAAGATCGAATGATCAATCTCAGCTCCAAGTTAAATTTGTTATCAGAAAACAAGATAACTTCTCAGTAGGAATATGTTCTATTCTTTAATAAAATAACATGCTTATATACAAACTATTTATTATTAGATAAATAGATATGACTAGAAGTCATTTAAGAAATAAACGATTAGAGGATATGGAAACTATAGATTATTCACTCTCCAATGGAATTAATGTCTATCAGGCTTACTTATTGCTAAACCGCATGAAAAACAACAACATATAGCTGATAAGATATATGCTCTAATCATTTCCACCACCACCACCACCACTGAATCAACTACTTCTATGAATTCGGTGTTAATGTGGTATGGCAACCTGGGCCTGGTCCTACGTTGTAGCTGATAGATATTAATAAACTCATCTAATTTTTAGGTATCATTACCAAGGTATGACTTGATAATTTCGAATAAATTGAGCATTGGGTAGATCGTTATAAATAAATTAATATATTTGTAGATATCCTAATAAATAGAAAAATTAGATTTTTCTGATGTTTCGTAACTCAGTGTAAACCACTTCTTCAGAGAATAATAAATAACCTAATAAAAATGAACTTAAACTTGGATTAATTTTAATTTGGTTATTTATTGTCTGAAGAAGTAACTTACACTGAGTCACGAAACGTCAGAAAATGTAGTTTTTTTACTCATTAGTAGGATATTACAAATATATTAATTTATTTATCATTTAATTTTGTTTTTTTGTCTAAGCAAGGATGACTGTACATATAAACCATCTCAGCAATATTTTCTCTAGTGATTTCATCATACATGAACAATGTTCTTGAAGATAATTATAGTTAAGTATTTAAAGAGTTTTCGATCTTCCACAGCACTAAATTGTCATAACTCTCTCGCTTCATATCGTTCTTTCTACGTACTAATTCTTTCTCCCTGTATCATATCCTTACACCGTTGAGTTAACCTACTTCTATGAACCCGGTGTTCGTCTTGCTGTGCTAATAAGGTATGACAACTTGGAACGATACATATATGTGCCTGTTCCTACGTTGTAGCTAATTGACTGTCTAGTTGGATAAATGATTTACATCTATGTAAGACTAAAAGTCATTTTTAAAAAAAAAGACAAACATAAGATACGAGTTTTGTAGATTGTTTACTTACCATTCTCTAAAATTAAACTCTTACTTCTTAAAATTAATTATCTTAATATAGAATTTTCTGCTAATATGTTTCCATTAGTTATCAATTTGGAGGATCTTTTTTCAGCAGAAACAACATTTCTTCTTGAACTGTTATTGTCCGTGTTATCATTCTAAAACGATTGATAGCTGCTTCATTCTAAGTGAAACTCGGGTATATATATATATATATATATATATATATATATATATATATATATATATATATATATATATATATATATATATATATATATATATATATATATATATATATCAGAAGGGTTTTTGTGGATATTATAGTGATTTCAATAGTTTAGATCATGAGTCGATTGAAGCTAGACCACCATGGAAAACCTGGAAGCACTGGACGGCCGTTTCTTCCCGTTGTGGGACTACTCAGCAGTGCGCACCCATGATCCCGCCCCGCGAGATTCGAACCCAGGACCTATTTGTCTCTCACAAAATGTCCATACAAAAATGCCTTCTAATTTCAATACTTTTCTAAGTTTATATAAATTTATGGCGAAAATTCACATCAAATATGTTTATTTTACCTTTCTATCTTATTTCACATTTTATTCAGGTACAAAGGGAATTACTAGTACGTAGACGTCATCGTGCATCTCCTGTAGAAACTACAAAAATTGACCGCGAAATTCGCCGTTTAGATCAACGTTTCCGTAGGGAAAGTCGACGTCGACGTTCATGTGATGATTTAATGTTTGGATCAATGAAATCAATTAACAGTGATAATGATAATTTCTTTAATGAGTCGGACAGCGATTGTGATTCATACGATGCTGATTATCCAAAAGTAAACAAACAAATAGATAAGATTATTTTATTGTGAATAACTTAAATTGCATACTCTATATCGTTTGGTGTGCATTAAACATTGAAATGATGAAAATTTTTCTTAGGAATTCAGATAGATGCTTTGAATGTTGTTAAGTTCTGGAAGCTAGAAAGTCTAGTTGCAAAGATTTCATTGTTATTCTGCAATGGGCACAATTGTCTAGCACCATACATTTGTGAGCTGCTTTTCATACATGACTTTACAATCTATTTCGTAGTAAAAGTTCTCAATGATAGCGACAATTTCCTGAAATACTCCATAGTCTTGAAGAACATTCTATAAAGTTCTCAAAATCAAGCTGTTGAATGGTTTCTCATTCTTAAGTTGATGTATAGTGATAGGTTTTGTCGAGCTGATTGTTCAACAGTTAACTGGATTATCGTGATTTGGTCGGTACGTAACCGATCCTTACGTAAACCGCCAGTATGTTGATCCCGAAGTTGGGTGTTTACTTAATTATTTTTTGGTTCAGCGACATCCTGTTGAAACTTTACCTAGTTCCGAAAATAGTGTGATTTCTCTTGAGTTGTCACACCTACTAAGATCTCTTTTCTTCAGTATCTTGATTAGGATCCCTTTTTTAATCTGCTGGTACTCGCTATTTGAATTCTGCTGTAAGTACTCTCATACTCATGCCTCTAAAATTATTTGTAACAGAATATGCCGGTTCAAATAGTCCAATTGTTTTCAAGTTTTCACACTAAACCAATACACGAAGTTGTGTACTTGGCTACCAAATCACATCATTAACTCTTAAAAAAATTAAGACTTCAAGTCTTATTTGACAGAATGAGATGTGACATTTAGTCAAACTATTAGTTTTCTAATCACCAATGTATTTTTTTCGCCAATCAATTTTATGATTTCCAATATAAATTCATTTCATGAAACAAACGTGTATTCCCTTTTTAGGGTTGGGGCCCTGATGAACACATTCACAAAGTTCCTAAACATCGCTTTTCAAGTCATAAACGTTGGCTTATTGGTTCACATCATCATAAATGTAGTCGTTTATCTGTCTCTCCAGCAATACACTCTGACCCTGAACCGAATACTAATTGGTGGATACAAGATACAGAAGATGCAGAAAATAAAGAATGGAACACTTGCCCTGAAGGTTATGATTATGCTGATGCTGAACGTACTCGAGAAATACTGTATGATTCTCGACGTGATAGATATGAATCATGCAAATATGAAAATAATATAGCTTATCAAAAAAGAGGTCATGGTAATTTAACACGATGTCTATTTGGTGCCGATGATAGTCCAGAAGATATAAATCAATCTAGTGCAGACGATGAAGATGTAATAGGTCCAATCTCTGATGTATCAATTGGTGAAGATTCCGGTGACCTAGAAAATGATGATGATGATGATGATGACGAAGAAGAGGAAGATGAAGATCTAACTAATGAACGATGGGATCCATTAAGAGAGTTTATGTAATAGCTTTATTCATTATATTTTATTATTGTTTATGTAATTGTACATATATCTATCACTTGTTTTCTTTATATTATCGATTTCTACTTTTTTAGTGTATGTTTATAGAGCGTGATATTGATTATCTTGTTACACCTTTTAATCATTCTTTACTAATCATAATTATTTTTAAACATACAATTTTAATGTTTCTTTCTTTTAAAAAAACAAACAAAAAGTTACTCATGAAAAGACACGAGAAACAAAACCACATTTAATTTATTTTGTCTTTCGTAATGTTTGGATCATTTTGCAATGAAAATAAATGAAGAATTGCAGTTGATGAAATTTTACTACTTTGAATTGTTTCTTTTTTTTTAATACTAAGAATACTTGAAATCCATGGCAGATATCTGGAATAAATACCCGAATGTTTTAGTAGATAATCGTAATGTGGTTTTTACGTTAGATTGTGATTTTATAGGATTAGTGTAGTCTAATAATAATTACTTGCGAAATCAAACTATTGATACAAAGTTCCGATGAAGTATTATTAAAACAATTTGTCCTTTCGATAATACAATAAGATGAAGTTCATCAGAATTATATATTTGCGCAATACATTACGTTATTACCTCAGCAGCATGACACAATTAAAAACATTTGATAAAAATAACCGCAATTGAAAGTCATTTTGAAACACAATGTTTTGTCAATTCATCACTGATTGGTGAAGTTAAGATTCGACATGCAGGCTTAACACTAGTTAACTATAGTAAGAGAGATTCATTCAAACGGTGAAAAGCGATGTCTTAGTTGACAGATATCACCAAATGAATAAGCTAACACCAAGCTACTTGAAGATTTGATCGGATCTTACATGTAATTTCAGTCAGTTAAAATGTGATAGTATGATGTGAATAAATCCAATCGGACAGCAATTACGAGTATTATCGTATATAAAGATATCAGGTGATTACCGTTCGATTTACAATGTGTTAACAAACCACATCGGCATTGTGTGCATTATATTTTGGTGCTGGGTGGTTAGACGTTGAAGACCCTGAACCTAAGTTCACACTCATCAGAAAAAAGTAGATGTAAACTTGTGAACGCTATTGCTCTTTTGCCGATCACCTTCAATAGCCCTATATTTAAACACTGAAATGTTGGGTTTTTGTACGACTAAGCCATCCACGACTGGAGACAATACACCATGTTGATGATTTCAAAAGATATCACTTAGCGCCTAAGTTATTAATTTCATGTCCCATAGCCCCCGTAACCAGTGTTCAAAGAAAAATACTCACTAACACTTTAAATCAGGACATCTTCCCTCAAAAAGAAAGCACCAAGAAAAAAACAAATAATTCTTTATTGCAAATCAAAGTAGAGTTTGGGAAACCAAAAACAAAAGAAACATTATACTTCTGTTGTGCTTTCTTTCGAAGTGAATATGATAAAAAGATAATCATAGAAGTAATAATAATATCAAACGAAATGAAGATCCATTCATTGATTTTTTCGCATATTATGTTGTGGAATATGTATATATTTATATAATGTGTATCAATTCAATTGCTTTGTCTATATAGGTCTTTATATCTTTTGAAATATAACGACCGGCGCCTGACATCACAATGATATAACATTTACACACAAATTGCAAAAGTTCATGTAAACATAACTAAATATTCCATAGGACAGGAGTAGAGACGAAAACGAGATTAAAATGAATCGTTTAAGTTGTAATGAGAAATTAATAATAACAATATATAAATAAGAAATGGAAAAAAGAGAAAAGAAAAATAAGTTATCAGAATATAATGATTAAATTAATTGAACTATTATGACAGACAACATCAAAAGCAACACCGAGAACAGAACAGAAACGAAGAAACAAACAAAAGTAACTAAAAATACTATTCATTTATAATTATTACACAGAATTGATGTGCATATGTATATATATATGTATATATATATCTGTAAATAGTCATTAAAATTCATTGTACAACTCAATTTAAGTATCCCTATCACTTAATATTTGCCTAACAATAGATTGCACTACAAAGAAAAGAAAAGTTACTCATTAAGGAGGAGTGTGATAGATTGACTGATCAACAATAAATAAATAATAATTGACAGTCATTAATATTATCATTAGAATTGAGCACAAACAACAAATTTAACACCTAAACAATAATAATAACAACAATAAAAGATGTATATGTGTGTGTGAGAGAGAGAGAGAGAAAGAGACAAGAATGACCATGAAAAACTATTCAATTTATTATATCAACATCTTGGTTACAAACTTTTCTCTCTCTTTTTGTTTTCTTCTTGTTTGAAGTTAACAACATAAGAAATAGTCAACAAAAAGAAAAGAAATAAAAAAAAACAAATAATCACAATGTTACTAAGGATACGTACACATTACATATTTTAATATGTATATATAATTCCAAGTAGAGCTTATTGTAACTAAGTAAATGAAACAATTGATAAACAAATTACAATAATGCACATGTATGAAATGCATAGATAAACAGAATTTCACACTTGTTAAATATACATTTATATATATATATATATATATATATATATATATATATATATATATATATATATATATATATATCACTGTAAAACATTAAAGCTGATATACACAATATATGAATAACAGTAAATATTGATCAATGATAATGAGACGAAGGGGGGGGAAGGAGAAAAGAAAAAATTTAAAAAAAAGAAGTACAACAAAGAATAAAACAATAAACAAAGTTAAAAGAAGTAAAAAACAAAGAGAAGAAAGAACAAAAATAAGAATCATTATTCATGTATTCTCCTTTCTCTTTTTGATAATTAATTAAAATTAAAAAATGAGCAATTGTACAGGACAATATTAAAATTTCAAAGAGAATATATGAATAATTATGAACGAGCAGTATTTTGTGTATGATGCTGTACATTATGAGTAAAGTAATCATTGCCAGTATTCATTTGATTAAAACTATTATCATTATTGTCACTATTCCTGTTATTATTATTAGTAGTAATAGTAGTATTAGTATTATTACTACTAATATTAGTATTACAAGTGTTATTTGCATAAACTTCATAACCAGAATTAGTATGTGTACGTTGATTAAATATAGATCTATTATTGTTGTTATTATTATATATTTCATGCAAACAAATATCACAGGTCCAATGGGCATCAAGGGTACGAGGTAATCGACTTGGGATACAAAGTGCATGAAATACACGATCACAATCCCAACAAAAAATCATTCGATCCTATAATATATGAAAAGATGGAAATTCATCATATATATATATAAATATAAAATCATTTAAGAACATAAACATTAGTACAAGTAGGCAATAAATACATATGCTAGCGTACTACTTGGAAGCTCAAACAGAAGCACATGGTTTTCTTAGGCGCCCACTCTTCGAGTCTTTGACTTAGAGATATAATTCACAAATCAGTGGAGCAACTTTAGAAGATGAGATTTCATGATAGCCAGTGACCAGCAATAGACTCATAAGTCACTTGTTCCATCACGATCCTGGAGCCTATGTGCACCATTAGTTTGGAATCATGGTTTGCCACCCCCCCACCCTATGTGGACCCGCCGTGTCCACCAACCCGTTTAAAGGGCTGAACATTCACTTTTCGTCCTCTCAATTTCGTAAACATTACCCTGCTACGAGAAAGCATTAATTACGACTTCTCTGGCAATGGTTGTATATGTATGACCATGTAAGAGCATTTCGAGGAGCGAGGACTCTCCCCACCCTCTATTATTTCAATATTATGATACACAAAAGCAGTCTTAAGCAGCTAGGGAGAAGTTACAAAATAAAGAGAACCCACATTATTCTGCTTTAATTCTTCTTCTATCTTTACTCAAATTTTACTTAAGTTTACTGATCAAAAAATGATTGATTCACACAGTGATATTATTATTGAGTTTTCTAATATCATCGTGCACTTTTCAAAAGTGGTGAATTCAAGACATGAAGTTCTCCACAGATATGTGGTGAGGAAGGTACTGTCGGGACGACATTAGTAGCAAGATTGTTTGACTAAATATGAAAATAATAAACATAATTATTGTGCAATTAGACAAAAGAAATATTGTTCAGTGGAGAAAATTCTGTTAGTTCAAGTTACTTACTCAATCTGTGCCATAGTATACATAAATTGATTTTACATACTGTAGTGTATAATAACACGGTGTTGTGTCGTCACCCGATACTCAGAGATTTGATTGTTTTCGATAAATTTGTCAAGTGACATATGTAAAATCAATAATGCAAACAATTGTACATCTTGCGTAAATGAGATCACAGAAAAGGAAATTTTCTTCTTTGGATATGAAAAATTGGTTAATAGGTTACATATCTGGTGAACATTTACTAGAATTCGCAAATTTACAAATTAACTGGACTTAAAACTGTAGACGATTGGAACCCAATTCAGTGATCTGAAAGTTGAGAGTTCACGGATAAAATCGAATATCCTGGATTCGATCCCTAATACTGTCGTGGGTGCGCACTGATGAAGAGTTCAACACTAGAACGCTGCAACTATCTTATACTTCGTGGTATGTGATAGTTGTCTAGTTGGAATCCGTTTATGATGAGAAACTTTAAAAATCGAAACACTCGGTTATAAAAAAACAGAAATTTGACTGAAATTCAAAAAAATTTTAAAGTGATAATATATACATAAACGAATGCGAGAATACATTATTCAAATAAAACACGTACCTCATGATCATCTTGATCACATAACCAACATGTTTTACACTCAATACACTGCCATGGATAGCGCATTGCAGCATCAATTATATGCGGAGGTAGACGTAGGCATGTATAATGTGCACTATGCCCACATCGAGAACATTGTAACATACCTTCTGGATGACCAATACGTGGATTCATATTATCATCACCTAGACAGTAATCACATATAGGCATGGATGCTGTTGACGTCGACAATAATCGTGAAGATGTGGACGAATTAATAGATGGACGTGTAAGACCAAGTCGATCTGGACAGTGTTGTCTTTCATAACGTCGTTGCTGTGGACCTACATGATTCATTGTCGCTGGGGACTGTTGTGATGGTGGCAGCCGAGGAAAAGAAGTATGACTACTGGGAACACTTGGGGAACCATAGGGCATTTGATTAAATATTGTATTCGGAGAATTCCAATTGTTTGGTGGAGATGATTGCAGCTGTTGTGATGACAAATAAGGATGGTGATGATGAGGATGAGAATAGGGAATATGTGAATGGATTTTATTACCAATCACGCTATTTCCCAGATGTGAAACTGGAGAATTGAATGATGATGATGATTGTAAAGTGTTGTGGCGTTGTACAGAATGAATATTTGTATGGGGTAAATTATT